GTGTCACCCATGCTATGCAGCCCAGGCCTCAGAGGCTGAAACTGACAGGCTACTTTTCTTTTATCAACAGGTTACAAAGGCCAGAGAAAAAAACCATACTGAACAGATTAGGTCCAAGATGGTGGACAAAGTAGGCTAAAGGTCGCCGCTTTCCTTGCCTTGATTCATCTGTTTCCATACCAACCCCTGAGAACTGAAGGACACTTGCCCTGATTTATCTGTGTTTGCTTCGAATGTACCTGCTATTTCGCAGAGATGCTTTGCAGCTGTACTTTGCAAGATACAGTGTTCAACTGCCCCCAAACCAGCTCTGAATTGACCTGAATTGACCCGCCTGCATAGATGAAACCTGAAGCAGTCCGAGTGTTACCTCTGCTTCACTACCCTGCTAAGATCTCCACACAAAGGGGGCATTTGCACTTTACCAGAAGAGTTTATGCCATGTGCAAAGGAATGTGGAAGACTGCACATGCCACGGCTGCCCCTGAAAATCCCTGCCCCTTTCCTAGAGCCCCGATGACTGTCTGCCTCCTAACCCTTAAAATTCCCTTACACCCCTCCCTTTAGGGAGAAGGTGCTTTTAGAACCCCCCTTCTCTGTTCTCTGGCCATTGCATAAAAGCCTGTCTTGCTTGCACCAAACTCAGTTTCATCATCGGCCACTCGAACTTGAGCAGGAAAGAAGACCTTGAATAGCCAGGGGGACTCGGGTTCAGCTAGGGCCCCAAGAGGAGAGGTTTGTGTGTAATTCAGTCGCAAGAGCATGGATTCTACAGCCAAACTTCCTGGGTGCTGTCCTCCGCTCCATCACTCCCAGGCTGTAGAACCGTTCTCAGACTTGTTGGTCTTAGGATGACTTTATCCTCTTAAAAACTGAAGAGTCCCAAGAGCTTTTGTTTACGTAAATTATATATATTGGTATTTACTATATTAGAAACTAAAACAGAAAATTTTAAATATTAATCTATTAAGAAATAGCAACCATAAACCTATTACATGTTAACATAATTCAGTTTTCATGAAAAATTAACTATATTTTCCAAAACAAAAATGTAATGAGAAGGATGCATTGTTTTACATTTTTGCAAGTCTCTTTAACAGAATATAGCTGGATTCTCATATTCGTGTCTGCATTCAGTCTGTTGCAAAATGTTGCTGTAAATCCAGCCTCACAGATATGTTGTTAAAAAAGGGAGGAATATTTCAAAACCCTTTTCCAACAGCTGTGGATATTTTTGATACTACACCAAACCTTGATACACAGTAGTTTCTAAAAGATTAGTCACAATGTGGAATCCAAAACCGTATCAGTGAACTTTTTGCAACCTGTTACATTTGAATCCATTGCTTTTTTTTTTGCATTTGGAATGGATTATTTGCAGAATATTGGTTCACTGCATAATGCAGATCTTCCTAATGTTGGCACACTACAATATACAATTTTGATACATAACAGAAATTTATTAATATCCATCTAAAAGATTTTGAGAATGTCAAGTTCACTGTGGCACACATAAGTTTTCCAAAATTCAAAATTTCACTTGAGAACTCAAATTTCATCACAGACAACAAAAACTGTAGTTGCTTTTCCTGAAGTGAGGCTCACTTCATTTATTTTTGAGACAGTGTTTGCCAAACATCCAAGTCTGAGTAATCATAGTTTGTTCAAGTAAAGATGTTATTCTGTGAAAAAGGGGCTAGTTCATCTCACGACTCAAAAAGCCGCACAAGCGCCCTTCCCCAGGTCAATCACTGTACTCCAGGATGCGGCCAAGTGCTCTATGGGTATTTCCCACTTTACCTCAAACATATTAAGTATGTAAACTCAAGGGTTGAGATTTAATACAATTAATTGGTTTTAACGCTTCATCACGGACAGTTTTTGTGTTTTTTCAGGCCAGGAGTGTATGGGGGTGACGGACACAATGACTGCCAGCCCAGTGTGGTGCCATCGCCTTGGATTTGTGCTAAGGCACCAACACTTTTACCCCCACTGCTTTGGCATCAGTGCCAGTGTCAACGCAGTGGAAGAGGCGAATAACATCATGGCACAGCATTATTATGAAAATAGTTTTGACCTCACAAACCCCCGGAAAGGGTCTTGGGGACCCTTAGGGGTTCACAGACCACAGTGTCAGAACCATCACTGTAGAGTAAGTTACCTACCTTCTCTGGCTTTCAGTTTCCTTATTTATAAAACAGAACTAATAATGCTACAGCTACCTCATAGGGTTGTTGTGAAAGCTAAATGATTTAAAACATGTAAAGCACTTAGAATAGTCCCTGGCACATTGTGTTACAAGCATTTGCTAATATTATAATCATATATGCAATGCCATTAAATGTTCTTCCAAAATAAATTTATTGATAGTGTATTATTCCATAATAATGTAACGTAATTGTTGGATATTACGTTGTTTTCATTTTTTCATCACCCTTGTACATGTCTTTGGCACATCACCGATTATTTAGAGTAAGTTCCTGAAGTGGAATTGCCCAGAGTACACACATTTTTCACAGTACTGTTGAAAAGCATACATGGAGTATTAATGTGGGAGATCTGAAAAGAGAGAGGTCCATGGGCCAAGTGAGTATTTGACTCCAGCAGGGAGCATTTCTTAAGGTGGTGCCGTTGAGTACAAAAGAATTATGAACTGTGATGATCATCTCTGAATTGGAAGAGGCCAAGGTGTTGGCTGAGTCATCCTCATGAACACTGAAGTCACCCAGTTGGTATGCAGAGAACCAGAGACTGGGACACAGGTCCCATCATGACTTGATGGGTAGACTTCGCCAGAACATGATTTTGCTGGGGAACTACACGCAAGCCCAGGAAAGCCAAAGTGACCAATATCTTTATAACCAACACCTATAAAAGATTCCCAAGCCCTAGATGATGAGACATTTCTTTCAAGTAATATTTGATTCAAAACAAAACCAGTCTCCCCCTAAAATTTAGACACAAGCATTTACAAATTCATTATTCAGAAATGGAACTCATCCAATATGAATATAAGGTAAGTACAAAGTAGGTTTTCTAGCTTCATTTGGTGGAAGCTTGTTTACACGCAGGCTTTAAGGTCTGACTTCAGGATACTGGAAATGAAACTCATGGAATCTTGGCCCAGGCAGAAGTAGTAGTATAGTGAGGGCTTCCCTGGTGGCGCAGTGGTTGAGAATCCACCTGCCAATGCAGGGGACACGGGTTCAAGTCCTGGTCTGGGAAGATCCCACACGCTGCGAAGAAACTAAGCCCGTGCACCATAACTACTGAGCCTGCGCTCTAGAGACCGCGAGCCACAACTACTGAGCCCGTGTGCCTAGAGCCCGGGTTCCGCAACAAGAGAAGCCACCGCAATGAGAAGCCCGCCCACCACAACGAAGAGTAGCCCCCGCTCACTGCAACTAGAGAAAGCCCGCGTGCAGCAACAAAGACCCAAAACAAGCAGCCAAAAAAAAAAAAGAAAAGTAGTACAGTGAAAGGAGGGTTTTTTTTCAATAAACAATGCCGTAACAATGGTTTTCCATATTAAAAAATTGAAATTGGATCCCTTTCTCAGTGTACACAGAAATCAATTCTAGATGGAATAAGAATTTCTATATGAAAGGCAAAACCACAGAACTTTCAAAAGAAAACAGAATTATTTTTCTGACCTAGAAAAGAGTGTGCTGGATGCAGAAACACTAACCTTGAAAGAAAAGATTGAGAAATTTGACATTAAATTTAAGAATTTTGGTTACTAAAGGATACCTTTAAAAAAAGTGAAAAGAGCGGGCTTCCCTGGTGGTGCAGTGGTTGAGAGTCCGCCTGCCAATGCAGGGGACACGGGTTCGTGCCCTGGTCCGGGAAGATCCCACATGCCGCAGAGCGGCTGGGCCCGTGAGCCATGGCCGCTGAGCCTGCACGTCCGGAGCCTGTGCTCCGCAACGGGAGGGGCCGCAGCAGTGAGCGGCCCGCGTACTGCAAAAAAAAAAAAAAAAGTGAAAAGAGGGCTTCCCTGGTGGCGCAGTGGTAAGAATCTGCCTGCCAACGCACAGGACACAGGTTCGAGCCCTGGTCCAGGAAGATCTCACATGCCGTGGAGCAACTAAGCCCATGAGCCACAACTACTGAGCCTGCGCGCCTAGAGCCCGTGCTCCGCAACAAGAGAAGCCACTGCAATGAGAAGCCCGTGCACCACAACGAAGAGTAGCCCCCACTCGCTGCAACTAGAGAAAGCCCGCGTGCAGCAACGAAGACCCAACACAGCCAAATATAAAAAAAAAAAAAGAGACCATGAGTTATCATTTTATCCTCACCAGTTTGGACGAAATTAAGAACTTTTAATGCTCCCTAGGGCTGAAAAGGATGTGGTCAGTAGGAACTCTTATACTGCAGGAAGGAGTGCAAATTCATACAACCACTTCGAAAAACAATTCAGCATTATCCTGTAAAGTATCCTAAAGAAACTCCTGTACAGGTGCATCCAGAGAGGTGTACGAAAAATTCCATTGTGATCCTGTTGGTAATAGAAAAATAACTGGAAGCAATGCCAGATCCATCCACAGGAAAATGGAGCGATTATAGAATATTCACATGATATATATACAACCATGAAATATGAACAAGCAGTAGCTATGTGCAGCAACTCTGATGAACCTCAGAAACAAAACATTTGTTTAAAAAGTGAGTCCTGGGGGCTTCCCTAGTGGCGCAGTGGTTGAGAGTCCGCCTGCCGATGCAGGGGACACGGGTTCGTGCCCCGGACCAGGAAGATCCCACATGCTGCGGAGCAGCTGGGCCCGTGAGCCATGGCCGCTGAGTCTGCGTGTCCGGAGCCTGTGCTCCGCAATGGGAGAGGCCACAACAGTGAGAGGCCCGCGTACCGCAAGAAAAAAAAAAAAAAAAAAGTGAGTCCTGGAAGTCTCACAGTATAAAACTATTTTTTAATTTTTTTTGGCCATGCCACTCAGCTTGTGGGATCTCAGTTCCCCGATGAGGGATTGAACCCGGGGCCCCAGCTGGGAAAGCGCCGAGTCCTAACCACTGGACCACCAGAGAATTCCCTAAAACTATTTTTTATAAAGCTCAAACACATACAAAACTAAACATTCTCGTCAGAAATCTTTATGTATATGAGAAAACTGTGAAGGGGAAAAAATAATAAATGTGAAATTCAAGATAACAGTTATGTCTGAGGAGGCTGTAAAGAGGTGGGTTCAAGAAGGCATAGGTGAGGGAAGAGATATGGGGACACATGTATATGTAAAACTTATTCACTCTGTTATAAAGCAGAAACTAACACACTATTGTAAAGCAATTATACTCCAATAAAGATGTTTAAAAAAAAAAAGGCATAGGTATGTGACAAGGTGTTAGGAATATTCCAGCTCTTACATTGACTGGTTTCAGATATGTCAGTTTTCTTACACGTCACAATTTATATATAGGTTAAGTATTTTATGTGTAAAATATTATTTACCTCTTCAAATATAATAAACAAAGGGGGAGATTATGTGAATTGTGCATTCTAGTCCATGCCCCACAAAAAACCTTCCTCTAAATTTGATGCTCCAAGGAGACACATCATGTTTCTCCTTCACAGATCCCACCTTGTGCAAGTCAGGCCTCAAAGATCCCTGACCTTTGGTGTTCTGACTGTTGCCGACTTTTCCACCTCCATCTCCTGTCACTTGCCCAACCGGTCTTTGAGTGACAAAGTGCCTCCGCGCCATCAGCACACGCTGTTCCTGCAGACTGGAAGCATCCCTATCTCTTGCTCGCTGGCTGATGAGGGCTCAAACATTGCCTCCAGGAGCCTTCCCAGAGGCTGCAAGGGTTTGGCGCTCTCTCCTCATCATTTCCACAGTGCCTGTTCAGGCCTCTCTTTGCACACTTATTAGACGCAGGTAACTGCTCATTTACAGGCTGGCCCTTCCGGTTTATACACATGGGGAAGGAGCTGGAGAGATAACAGGTGACACAGCAAAAAAGGCCAGAGGCCAGTACTGTTTTCTGTTCCCCTCTGTGGCCCCAGTGCCTAGCACAGGTGGCTCTCAGCAAAGTTTTTCCTAAGGGAGGATTGTCAGGGGTGGAGATGGGTGGAAGGGGAATGGTCACACTCAAAGCTACTGCTGTTTGAAGCAAAAAAGAAAAAAAGTTGCCAAGCTTTATTTAGGTTGCAGTGGTCACAGACAACGCATCTAACTCTATATCCCACCCCACCCTACTCGGCCCCCTGCACAGGCTCAGCTCCCTTTTCCCTCCAGTCTCACTTCTTGTCCTCCTCCTTCTTGTCCTTCTTGCCATCCTTGGTGGCCTGGGAAGCCAGGGAGCCCATGGCATTTCGAATGGCCTCATTGTTGGGATCCACACCTGGAAGGTTCTCCAGGACACTCTGAAGGAACTCGGGGTCCTGCATCACATCATAATCATCCTCCTCCTGAAAAGGGGCTGTGTCAGCTCGGGGCAGCGGGGGCAGGCTGGCCGGGAAGCAAGCAGGTGCAGGAGACGGGAGCGCACCTGACTGGGGGTGGAGGGCACCTCTGGCCAAGGACGGGAAGGAGGATTTGGGAAGATACCCAGCGCCTATACACAGTATGAACTCAAACATTTATTTTCATTTAGTTTTTCGGCCCCACTGGCGTGGCTTGCGAGACCTTAGTTCCCCGACCAGGGATCAAACCCAGGCCCCTGGCAGTGAAAGTGCCAAGTCCTAACCACTGGACCACCAGAGAATTCCCCCAAACATTTATTACTGACCGATTAGAGGAGAAGCCTGAGAACTCTGCTTTCTGAGCTCAAAGGATAAAAACAGATGCCATCACCTTTAGGTTTCCTGCTGTCAGACACCCACTCTCCCCCCTTTCTTTTTCCTGGACCCTTTCTTCACCCTCCTGGGAAGATGATAGCACTGAGAATTGTCCAGACTGCTCCCACCAGCAAGGAAGGAAAATTACAAAATACTAGGACACCTCTCCAACTCTGGCCACTAGCATTCTTGCCTTAGCAAGGGTGACATACAAGGAATGTACATCCATGTGTTTCTTTCCTTCTGCTCCTGCAAGAGCTCATCTATAAAACCCCAAGAGAGGAATAGTCCCAGGCCCAGTGGGCTGAGGATCTGAACACAAGGGGGTTTTAAGCCCGATGGGGCAGGGAGTTATTGCTGGCCCTTACCTTGGCGGGCTCAGATGTGTCCATGGCTGAACTGGCATCAATGTCAGCTGATTCTGCCTGGCCAAATTCTGAGGAAAAGAGGTCAGTCCGTTCAGTTTCATGTCCTCACCCAATGTCTCCGCCTCAGCACAACCACCCAGGTTCTGGCTCACCTGCGCCCTGGAGGGACATCTGCATGGCATATGCAATCTGCTCTTCCTCGGTCATACTACTTAGGTCGGGGAGCCCCGTGCGGCCAAACTCCTGCTGGCTGATGGTCATCTTCAGCAGGGCATCATCCGAGTCTGGGAAAACGGAGAGAGCGGCGGGGTGGAACCATGCCATATTCCACAAAGACCCACCCCCAAGCCCACGCGTTCCCACACTGCCAGACCCCCCACCCCCATCTACATCAGGCCTCCACTGAGCACCCCGCAGTCCCGGGACTTCAGATTCCACCTCTTTCACCTTCAGTCCCAGTCGTAGCAATTCCGGCCTCAGCGGCAGAGGCGGCAGCTGCCCGCCGCGCCTCCTCCTCCTGCCGCTGCCGCTGCTCCTCCATAGAAACACGAAGGGCCTGGCCAAGGGCAAGGGAAGTCAGACATCCAGCCCCGGGCACCAGGGAAGGCAGCTGGGGAAGGCAGCTGAGGGGTGGGAACAGACCGTAAAGGGGGAGCTTCTGGTTTATACACATGGGGAAGGGGCTGGAGAGATAACAGGTGATATAGCAAAAAAGGACGGACTTGGGAGAAACCTGGGGTTTAACGGGGAGAAGTGAACAAGAGAGAGTCTGACATTGGTATCCCTAGAGATCAGACAGAACTGTGGGGAAGAGGGACCAAGAGGGGGTCTGGGAAAACGAGCAAGGGTATTAGGACTGTCTAGCCCTAGAGAAGCTATGTGCCGTGTGGACCAGTAGAGGAGGACAAGGAAGGTCCCCTGAGGTCAACGTTTGCTCACCAAGGCCAGCTCAGGATCAGCACTGGGATCCACTCCAAATTCAAAGTCACTGGCACCAAGACCCAGCATGGCACCGCCTTCCCCAGCCAGAATTGGAGAACTGATGAGGGCATCAGCCAAGCTGGGCCCAGGAGGCACTGTCACCAGATGAGAACCGGTTCCATCTTTGCCATTCAGTGTGTTTACAAAGGCGGTCAGCTTTTCTGTGTTCACCTCCTGGGGAGGGAAGAACAGAGGAGGCTCTCCTTCTCGCCCTGCCCCCCATTCTCTGCCATGTCAGCTCCTGTCTGTAGCTACTCTCCCACATGCAGACACTCCTCTGGGTAAGGACTGTTCTCTGTTTACAACCACAGCAGTGAATGCCCCCCGAATGGTCCTTACTCACCTCTTCCCCAAAATTGATAATGTCAACATTTACTTTCTCCTTCTTGAGGCGTTTAGCCAGTTTCACCAGCTGGGAAGAAGGGGAGAGAAATAAGGAAATCTATTCCATACCATGATGGGAGATGACACACCTCACAAAAGCATACAGGAATTGGTAGACCTCTCCAAGGTCCCCCAACAGAAACACTGAATTCTGCACCTCCTCCTTTCCCCAAAGTGATGAACCCAATGCCTCTCTGGCTCTCCTAAGGGCCAACAGACCCCATTCCCAAACATGTGGTGCCCAAATTCCCCAGTTATCACTTGGACTCACATCCTTCTCATTGTCCTCCACGGGGCTTCCCACAAAGGCAATGATTCGCATCTTGTGATTCTTGCCCTGTCGGTGCTTCAGGGCCAGCTTGAAAAGGAAGAGGAAGTTCCTGGAGTCAGCCAGAGGAATCACCCAGCTCTTTCCTGTTACTCTGCTCTTTTTCTATGGCTTCTGTGTACCTCGAGCCTACCATCATGCTCACACCAGGTCTAAACCCCCTCCTACACCCTTCCCTTCTTGCTGTGCCTCTCCGTGGATAAGGAAGAGGGGTTAATTCTCAATTCTAGGGATGTTTCCCTTCATGATCTTCACCGATCCTGGGATTCATCCCATCATATCCTTTCTACTCCTTTCTCTAGGTCACCTCTCCTCCCTTGTGCTGGTTCTAGCTCAAGAGTCCAGGGGAAAAATGAACAAGGGTGGAGGCAGAAGCCCAGAGCAAGGAGGAACCACCAAAGGGATCCAACAGGACTCACATGGGCCACGCGGATGCCAGTGCAGAAGGTGATCTTGCCTTTGGGTTGGACAGTGTGGAGCTTAGACAGGATGCGGCCGGTGTCAGGGGTGAGTGTGGTCAGCACTTCACAGTCACTGGGATGTGGGGAAAGCACCTTCTGTGATTTCAGGTCAGGACAAGTGCCTCCAAACTGTGTTTGGCTAATCTTTTCTTTGGGGACCTTGATAATAACTGTAATCTCTATTTTTCTTAATCAAATATCTAGTGTTTAGAGAGTGGATCTTATAAGTTCTCATCACAAGGAAAAAAATTTGTTAACTACGTGAGACATGGGTATTAATTAAACTTACTGTGGTGATCATTTTGCAATATACACATTTATCAAATCATTATCTTGTACACCTTAAACTTCATGTCAATTACATCTCAATAAAACTAGAGAAAAACATCTAGTGCTTAGACATGAAACACAGAAAATAAGAAGTCGTTGATTTTGTGAGAAACTTGCCCTCTTCCTCCCAATATTTCCCCCAACCTCTCTCATGTCATCTTGCTCTCGGAGCCCTGGGAATCCTCTACAATATCTGGATGCGCCTTCTTATCTCTCCTACCCTCTCCATTTCTAGACCCATTTTCTGGCTAATAACATGTATATCGGGATGGGTGGTCACTCATTTGAGGATTATCAGTTCCTAAAACAAATCACTTTTGGGGTAATAGGCTGTGTGATGTACGCCCTGGGGCTCTGACCCAAAACCGCTTTTTACTGCCTTTAAAATACACTGTGGGAACTTCCTTGGCGGTCCAGTGGTTAAGACTCCACACTTCCACTAGAAGGGGCAGGGGCTTGATCCCTGGTCAGGGAACTAAGATCCCACATGCCGCACAGTGCATCCAGAAAAAAGAAAAAATACACTGTGAAATTTTACCCCGGGAGATTTAGCTTCATAACTGTATTAAATTCAGGTTAATATTAAAAACAAGTTGCTGTTTATATTTATACTGAACAGTGAAGAAGGTAGTCTAGGAAGTTCTCATGGAAGCCTCATGGAATCTACAAAAGGGTAACAACCTGGGCACCACAGTGGGTCACATATAGAAAACACCCCCGCCTCCCCCAAACCCCTCCTGCTCTGCCCCACGTACTTGGCCAGTGTGATGAGACCCACGTTGTTCTCAGGGTTACTACGGGTCTTGGAGTGACAGACTATGTTGACGGCATCCTGCTGGGCCTGTAGCCGGGTGGGTAGGAAGTCCCCGTTCCGCATATACTCGCTGTTGTCCACGCTGTCAGATTAGGGTGAAGGAGGAGAGAGAAGACATACCGCAGGATCTGAGACATCCTCTCCAGTTCCAGGGACCCCCACCTCCTTCAACAACTCTCCCGTGAGGGGCACTGTGGTGTATGGCAGCGGCTCTCAGTCTTTGCGGAACAGAGAATCACCTGCAACCTTTTTTCTTTTTCTTTTCTCTTTATGCAGATGACCAAGCCTTCTTCTAGACTTACTGCCTCAAAATAACCAAGGAGGAAAAACTTTTTAAGTCTCCACAAGTGATAATGTAAGTACCCAAGGCTGTGAGCTACTAATGTACCACAACCACCTTCTTATAAGGTGCATTAAGCATTATTAATCATGGTTATGGAGGAACATGTTGTCTGCTACTAAAATAGGAGTATTCCAAAGGTAGGCAATGAAGAGGGCAACTTAAAAATATTTGTAAAATACTTGTAAAATAATACACACTTGGCAGCACTGAGTGCAGGAAGGCACAATGTAATTATCTGGTTAAATGTTTAACAGCTTTGGCAGCTGGACTGAACTGCAAAAATGAGGTTTCAGGGCTTCCCTGGTGGCGCAGTGGTTGAGAGTCCACCTGCCGATGCAGGGGACACGGGTTCGTGCCCCGGTCTGGGAAGATCCCACATGCCGCAGAGCAGCTGGGCCCGTGAGCCATGGCCGCTGAGCCTGCGTGTCCGGAGCCTGTGCTCCACAACGGGAGAGGCCACAACAGTGAGAGGCCCGCGTACCGCAAAAAAGAAAATAATAATAAAATAAAAATAAAATAAAAGTGACGAAGAGAGGTAATTAAGAAGCTACTGGAAAAAAAAAAAAAAAAAAAAGAAGCTACTGGAAGACAAGTAGAAAGGGAGGGAAGGGCAGTGTTCAGGTACAGGCTCAAATCTCCACTCTGCTACTTACTAGTTCTGTGATCCTGAGGAAGCTACTTAATTTCTCTAAGATCCAGTTGCCTCATCTGAAAAATGGGTTTTATTATACCTACGCTCACAGGGTTGCTATGAGGATTAAATGCATGGAAAGCACTTAGCACAGTGCCTAACAGTAAGCATGAAACACAGATTAGTTCTTATAGTGGAAATTCAATCTATATAAAGGAGGTCAAGGGCAGACTCTACTGACCATGCATTACATTCTTTTTTCCCTGATACACCGTTTCCAATTACTTTCCCAGCAGGGAAGTAACTGCCTTTCTAGCTTCAAATACAGCAGGTGAGTCCAAATATAAAAACAATGGAAGCTTTGAGGATCATCCAGATGGAATAGCTAAGTATAAAGACTGTGGGGGGCTTCCCTGGTGGTGCAGTGGTTAAGAATCTGCCTGCCAATGCAGGGGACATGGTGGGTTCGAGCCCTGGTCTGGGAAGATCCCACATGCCGCGAAGCAACTAAGCCCGTGAGCCATAACTACTGAGCCTGCGCATCTGGAACCTGTGCTCCGCAACGGGAGAGGCCGCGACAGTGAGAGGCCCGCGCACTGCAATGAAGAGTGGCCCCCCCGCTCGCCACAACTGGAGAAAGCCCTTGCACAGAAACGAAGACCCAACACAAACAAAAATAAATAAATAAAATAAAATAAAAAATAAAGACTGTGGGCAAGACCAGCGGATGGATGAGGGCTGGAAGGAAGGTGTCAGAGGAAGGGGGGCCTGAGAGGCAGGGAGAACTCACAGTGCAGAACATGGCGGTAGTTCTCACACTGTCATGCGTGCATCAGAACCACTTGGAGGGTGATGGTGGTGCTGGCACTGTTAAAAACACAGATGCCTTCACAACTATGTATGCATCTCCAAAAAGTGTACTGTTTAGTTTTCCCAGTGTTGAACTTTATATGAATGTAATAATATATGTATTTCCTGTGACTACTTTTGTGCAATGGTGTGTTATTTTTCCCAACAAAAATTCATATCAGGGCTTCCCTGGTGGCGCAGTGGTTCAGAGTCCGCCTGATGATGGAGGGGACATGGGTTCGTGCCCCGGTCCGGGAAGTTCCCACATGCCATGGAGCGGCTGGGCCCATGAGCCATGGCCGCTGAGCCTGCGCGTCTGGAGCCTGTGCTCCACAACGGGAGAGGCCACAAGAGTGAGAGGCCCACGTATCGCAAAAAAAAAAAAAAAAAAAAATTCATATCAAAAAGGGCTTATGATATTATTCAGCTATTCCATAAAGCCTTCATTTAAAAAAAAGAATACAGATGCCTAAACTTCCCTGGCTGGGTGTCTGATTCAGAAGATTGAGAGTAGAGTCAAATATACACAATTTTTTAATAAGCTCCTCCAGTGAATTCTGATGCACAGCAAAGCATGAGAAAAGGAGTGGCTCTCACCGTTATTCTAAGGCCGGGCTAGTACAATAGGCCACCAATACGTCTCTCTGGACCTAATCTTTCCTCCTATACGTCAAGCCAGATCAATATTCTTAAATTCCATTTTGTATACAGCTGTGCCTCGACCAACCTCAGAACTTTTTCGGTAGTCCTGTACTGAAGGGTACAGGACGGAACTCAACCTCCTCAGCCTGACATTTGTGGTCTTCTACCTGGTTGTATCTACCTTTCTCTAAAAAAAGGAACTACCTTAAACCAACAACCTAATAATAAAGTCATACTAGTCTATTTCCTACTTCCTAAACATGCCTTGATAATTTACACTTCAGCAGCTTTCTTTATGCCCTTCTCCCTACTCGTAATGGCCTTTCCTTAACATTTGTCTAAGTCCCTTCAAGACCCTTCTTAAATTCTTTCTTGAGGACTCAAGTACCATGGCAACTAATAGATGTACAGTGCTGTACAGTTTACAGACCACCACGACCTACATTTTGCCTACTTGTGCTACAAGTAGATGTTACTATTATAGTCCCATTTTATAGATAAAGTGAGAGATTTACTATATTCTCAAGAACATGCAGCTGGTAAGTACTAAAAACACAGGTTTTTGGATTCCAAATCCTGTCCTCTTTCTACTCTTAACATGCTCTCTCCCACAGGCTGCCATATTTAGCAAACGAAAATATAGGACTCCCAGTTAAATTTGAATTTCAGATGAACAGTAACTTTTTAGTACAAGTATGCCCCACACGATATTTGTGACACACTTATAGCCACTTTTTGATATTAAAAACTATTGTTTATGTGAAATTCAAATTTAACTGGGCATCCAACATGTTATCTGGCAACGCTATCCTCCCAGCAAAAAGAAAACTCCTAGGTGTCTGTTCCATGCAGTTGGAGATTTGTGTGTTTGTGTACTATTCTGTTTTCATTCTATGCTCACATTTAGAAGAAACTCTTGAAACCTTGCAAAAGTTTGGTCCTCAGCTTCTAATCTGACTCCCAATAGCTACTCAGCCATGTCTGAGACTGATGAAGAGAGCTAGCTCACTGGATAAGAGCCTCTGCGTCAGATAATCCTGGGTTTAAACCTTGGCTTCACCACTTAATTAGCTGTGTGACTTTGTATAAGTCATTTAAAATTGCCGAGACTCGGTATCCTCATCTGCAAAAGGGAGGGATGTCTACCTTGAAGTACTGCGAGGTTTAAGGCAGATAAAGTAAATTAAATGTCTGACACTTAGAAAGCAAGCTATAAAGAGTACCTCTGAAGATGATACAGGGAAAGGTAATGGAGTTAGAGACGAGTGAATGGGGCGGGGAAGGGATTTATCATCTCTCTTTCTAACATCCATCATTCTGAGAAGAAGAGAGAAGGGCAGAAGACTATCACGATGAGTCCGAGAAGGAGGACTCTGGCTAAAGACAGGCCTGAGCTGGGCTAGAGAAGACGAAGCTGGAATAGAGAAAGGCAGCAGGGCCGATCAATGACTGTCCGCGGATTGAGGGTTAAGGGGAGTACCCCGGGCCTGTCCTCCGGGAACTACCTCCGGGGCCCCGGGATGACTCAGGGAGTCGATGGGGCTCCTTCCCTCCCGGCCCAAGGCCTCATCTCGCCCATCAGGCGCGCTCACCCACCCGAGGTCCGCCCGGCCTCCGAGCTACACGCGCCCCCGACCCAGTCCCGCTCCCCACGGGGGCCCGAGGTAGCTCCTCACCAAACCATAGTGCTTTCCAACACCATCTTGCCGCCTTCCTGCCTCCCCGACCGGTTCTCCTGGACCACCTAACACCAACTCCTCCAATTGGCCCAGCGCTCATCACCAATCACTGATCTCAGCTCCGCCAGCTGGTTCCGCCTCCATCCTCCACGTTGCGTTCTGGGAGTTGTAGGCGCCGCCAAAATAAAAGAGACGTTTGGGGCGGGTGGGTGTTGGGGGAGAGGCGAGATAACGTGAAAAAGAGGGTCCCACCTCCACCTGCCCTGCCGTTCAGGTTTTCTGGTGGGGTTCCCTGCCGACAGGATCTAAGAGAAGCTGTGGAGGAACCTTTGAAAGTTCTGTGGCTATGTCTGTTCCAGCATCAGCATTTTTAAAAAGTGGTGGGATGACTAGTGACTTTCCAGCTCACTCTGTTCCCCATGGCACTTTGTTCATCAAACTACTAAGCCCTTATGCCCCTGAATTGCATTTGCTTGTGTATCTATCTTTCCCACTGCATTAAGGCAGGAAAGGTGGCAATCTCTGCTATCCCTGAGTCCACTACATAGCCTGACACATGGTAGGAATGCAGAAAAAGTTTGACGAATCAGTAATTTTAACTAATGTCCCAAAGAATGGGAGACAACCTAGTCAACCGTTTTGGTTTCTTAATCAAGAATTACATTAAAAAATGCCTTGGCTGGGAATTTCCTGCAGTGGTTAGGACTCTGCGCTTCCACTGCAGCGGGCACAGGTTCCATCCCTGGTCAGGGAAGTAAGATCCCACATGCCACTGCGCGGCCAAAAATAAAATAAACAAATAAATGCCTTGGCCTACCTTCCCCTACACACACACACACACACACACACACACACACACACACACACACCCCAAAGTAAAACCGGAAATTCCAGGTCTCTATCTTGAAGGAAGCGGGGAAAGGAGCGGGGGACCAAGGCATGACTACAGAGATGGTAGATAGTAGATGGAGATGGCAAGTGTGTTGTAGATATTACCTAAATGTTGGTAAAGTTTTAACGGATATGTTCAAAAGTTATTGGTAACCATCACAGCTGGTAGGAGTTAAATCTCTGTATCACTAGAGAAAAAAAAAAAACCAAAACCTGTCACTGTAACCATAGACAGGATAGTAAACAGCAAAGGGAAGAAAAATAAGAAAGCACAGAAAAATAATTAGTGACAAGTTCAAACATAAACAAAATACTTTAAAAACAAGACAAGAATTACATTTTTTTGAAAAGGAGCTACACGATGTAGAGAACTTGGAAGGGAACATAATAAAGTCTGCCCTTGTGGAGCTTGTATTCTATGGGGAAGGCAGATAATAAACCAATAAGTAAATATATTGTCAAATGATAAAACTAGGATGGATGTGTTTTCTTTTTTATATAAACAGAATATTAGGGAAGACTTACAGTTGAAAAGAGACCTGAAGGATACCTGGGGGAAAGAGAAAGTGCAAATGCCCTGAGGCAAGAGTGTACTTAAGACCAGGAAGGCTGGAGTAGAGGGAGAGAGAGAGAAGAAATGAGGCCAGAGAGGCAAAGGGAGTGGAAAGGTTGAATCATGGACAGTCGCAAAGATTATTTTAAGGACTCTGAGATAGGAGCTGTTGGAAATTTTCAGAAGAGGATCACTCTGGCTGCTGCATTGAGAACAGACTGTGGGGGGAAAAGAACAGGATATAGACCAGTTAGCAGACTACTTCAGTGATCAGGTATGCTGGTGGCTTATTGTAGGGTGGTAACAAGACGTGAAAATAGTGACATATGGATGGATTTTGAGTATGTCACACGATACAAAACTTAGAAAATTTGCCAGTGGATTTGTTGGAGGATGTAAGAAACGGGAATGTTAAGGAAAACACTAGAGTTGATTCTAAGCAACTACAAGAATGGAGGCACTATTTCTGAAGATGGGCTAGGAGGGGCAGGAACCAAAAATTTAGCTTTGGACACGTTAGATTTAAGATGCCTATTAGACACTTAAATGGAGATGTCAAGTAAGTGGGTAGATATATGAGTTTGCAGTTCAGAAAAACGATCTGGGCTGGAGATAGAAATTTGGAAGTTTTTAGCTAATCATGAGGTGACAGGGGTGTTTGACAAATTATACAGGGCCTTTAAAACTTTAAAACATTACCTAGGGAGTGAATGTAGACTAAAAGAAGGGGGCCTATGGTTGAGCCCTGGACATTTCAACATTTAGAGGTTAGAGAGGAAAGGAGGAACCAGAAAAGAGGATGGAGATGGAGCAGTGTAGCACCTTGGTAAGGACAACCGGGAGAAAACACATAGTATCCCAGAAGCTAAATGAGGAAAAGTATTTCAAAGAGCAATAAACTGTCAGATGCTGCTGACATGTCAAGTAAGATGAGGACTGATATATTTAGCAACACTGAGGTCATCAGCGACCTTAATAAAAGATGTTTCAGTTGGGTGGTCAGGGTAAAAACTTGGAGTGAGTACAAGAGAGATTGGGGTCAAAAAAAACTATCTGTAAAAATTCACTTCGGGACTTCCCTGGTGGTCCAGTGGTTAGGACTCTGCACTTTCACTGCCGAGGGCACGGGTTCGATCCCTGGTCAGGGAAATAAGATCCCACAAGCCGCACAGCGCAGCCAAAAAAAATTCATTTGTAAGACAATTGGCTAACATTGACCACTGCCTGGGTATTATTAAGGAATTATCAATTTTTAAAGGCATGATAATGTTGTTATGTTTAAAAAGAGCCCTTATCTCTTGAGTTATATATATTGAGGTATTTATGCATGAACGGATATGATGTCTGCGATTTAACTTAATCCTCTGGAGGTGCAGAGAGAAAGGAGGGGTGGGGTAGAAAGTATACATAAAACAGATTGGCCTTATATGTGTTGACAATTATTGAAGCTGGGTGATGCATACATGTCAGTTTCCTATACTCTACTTTTAGTTTGGAAATTTCCATAATAAAATTTTTTGTAAAAAGAAGGAGAAATTAGAAATAACTCATGCTTTTTAATGAACTTTTAAGAAGTAATTTTACAGGAGATGATATTGAACTGTTTTTGTGTCTTTGAAAAACTAAAGAATGAACAGCTTTTTTTTTTCTTTAAAAACAACACGCCCCTTTATTTTTTTTGGCTGTGCCATGCAGCTTGCAATATCTTAGTTCCCCAAAAAGGGATCAAACCCGGGCCCCCTGCAGTGGAAGCGCAGAGTCTTAAACCTGGACCACCAGGGAATTCCCAGGAATGAAGAGGATAACCTGAAATCTATTTTAACTGGCTAATCTTTGTTTAAAGAGTGAATGAGACTCCAACTGCGGTAAATAACTTTCAGAATAGCTGAGATTGACATGCTTAAGAGTAAAACATTAGACCAGGATTTCCAGCTTTATAATCCTATGGTTTTGATTTCCCTCATTTTTGCAACGGGCCCTACTTGCATCTGAATACAGATGGCAGGGTACAGCTGCAGAATAAGTGGTAGCTGCTACCCACCACTAGAGGGACCCTCTGACCATCTAGTGCACCCACTCAGCAGCTGCCTGAGTATGTTGAAGGGTGACGAGGTATGCAAAAGCTTTTAAGTTTCATTAGGTCCCATTGGTTTATTTTTGTTTTTATTTCCATTTCTCTAGGTGGTGGGTCAAAAGGATCTTGCTGTGATTTATGTCATAGTGTTCTGCCTATGTTTTCCTCTAAGAGTTTTATAGTGTCTGGCCTTACATTTAGGTCTTTAATCCATTTTGAGTTTACTTTTGTGTATGGTGTTACGGAGTGTTCTAATTTCATTCTTTTACATGTAGCTGTCCAGTTTTCCCAGCACCACCTATTAAAGAGGCTGTCTTTGCTCCATTGTATATTCTTGCCTCCTTTATCAAAAACAAGGTGACCATATGTGCGTGGGTTTATATCTGGGCTTTCTATCCTGTTCCATTGATCTATATTTCTGTTTTTGTGCCAGTACCATACTGTCTTAATTACTGTAGCTTTGTAGTATAGTCTGAAGTCAGGGAGCCTGATTCCTCCAGCTCTGTTTTTCTTTCTCAAGATTGCTTTGGTTATTCAGGGTCAGTTTTTGCACAGCAAAGGAAAACATAAACAAGAGGAAAAGACAACCCTCAGAATGGGAGAAAATATTTGCAAATGAAGCAACTGACAAAGGATTAATCTCCAAAATTTATGAGCAGCTCATGCAGCTCAATATAAAAAAAACAAACAACCCAATCCAAAAATGGGCAGAAGACCTAAATAGACATTTCTCCAAAGAAGATATCTATATTACCAACAAACACATGAAAGGATGCTCAACATCACTAATCATTAGAGAAATGCAAATCAAAACTACAATGAGGTATCACCTCACAACAGTCAGAATGGCCATCATTAAAAAATCTAGAAACAATAAATGCTGGAGAGGGTGTGGAGAAAAGGGAACCCTCTTGCACAGTTGGTGGGAATGTAAATTGATACAGCCACTATGAAGAACAGTATGGAGGTTCCTTAAAAATCTAAAAATAGAACTACCATACGACCCAGCAATCCCACTACTGAGAAAGCCATAATTCAAAAAGAGTCATGTACCACAATGTTCACTGCGGCTCTATTTACAATAGCCAGGACATGGAAGCTACCTAAGTGTCCATCGACAGATGAATGGATAAAGATGTGGCACATATATACAATGGAATATTACTCAGCCATAAAAAGAAACAAAATTGAGTTATTTGTAGTGAGATGGATGGACCTAGAGTCTGTCATACAGAGTGAAGTAAGTCAGAAAGAGAAAAACAAATACTGTATGCTAACACATATATATGGAATCTAAAAAAAAAAAATGGTTATGAAGAACCTAGGGGCAGGACAGGAATAAAGACGCAGACTTACTAGAGAATGGACCTGAGGACAGTGGGAGGGGGCAGGGTAAGCTGGGACAAAGTGAGAGAGTGGCATGGACATATACACACTACCAAATGTAAAATCGATAGCTAGTGGGAAGCAGCCACATAGCATAGGGAGATCAGCTCGGTGCTTTGTGACCACCTAGAGGGGTGGGATAGGGAGGGTGGGAGGGAGGGAGATGCAAGAAGAAAGAGATATGGGGATATATGTATATGTATATGTATAGCTGATTCA